CAGCATCTTTTGGGGTTGTGTTTCACACTTAAACATGTTGGTGAAGCCTACTGTTGGAATTTTACTTTAGATTCCAACTTAGCATGGCTTTGAAATACATAATCACGTTCAGCAGATGAATCAGTATGATGTCAAGGGTACAGAAAAGTGCTCCTGTTCAAACACTTATTCTTATCTGCCTGTTCACAGACACCTGAAATCTCTTTATTAGAGTGTACCGAAGTCTTCTAAAGTTCATAATTATTTACAAAAAGATTTAAAATACGAATATCCTTTGGGGGGGGACTGGGTGGTCTAAATTCACATTAAGGTGTAAATGATGAATTTCATTTTTTTTTTTTTTACAGATGACCGGTAAGGGGATCTTAACCCTTGACTTGGTTTTGTCAGCACCATGCTCAGCCAGNTGGAATGTTCATCCATGTCCCTGCGCATTTAATTTTCCACTCCGCCCCAGGCAACCACTCACCAAAGATCACTTTGACTATTCTCTGGGTTTCATATCAATGAAATCACATGCTGTATACTCTTATGTCTGGCTTCTTTTACTCAGCATGATGCATTTGAGATTCATCGTGCTGTTGCATGGATTAATATTTTGCTTCTTTTTGCTGCTGAGCAGAGTTGTGTTGTCTGGATATACCAACTTGTTTATCCACCTATTGTTGGATGTTTAAGTAGTTTCAGGTTTGGGACAACTATGAAATTAGCTGCTATGAACCTTTACGTACAAGTCTTTCTCTGAACATACATCTCCGTTTCTCTTAGGTAAATACCTAGGAATGAAATTGTTAAGTCACATAGTAAATGTTTAACTTTATAAAAGATTGACCGATATTCCGAAGTTTCTCAAAATGGTTGGGCCATTTTGATTTCCACCGACATTGCATGAGAGTTCCAGTTGCTCCACATCATCCACCAACATCTGATATTGTCAGTCCTTTTTATTTTAGTTATTTTACATTTTCTTTTTTCTTTTTTCTTTTTTTTAAAAGATGAC